GAGGCTGCTAAGGTGGAAAGGTTTCTCTCGATAGAAGTAATTACGGGGTATATGGAGAAAGTATAATTTTGTAACCCTGTATGTTTGTTTGTTTTATAACTTCGCTATTTAAAAATAAGGTCGATTCAAGTTGAGCTAGGAAAAAATTCCTCCACATCATCTGCGTGTGATGTGAATTGCGATCTAAAAATCGTGACCTAATGACCTTGAGAATATTAGTTGGAAAATTTTGAGCGATAATAACGTATTTAAACTTGCTTTTTATTTATACGTAAGTTTTTCTTTATTTATAAGAGAATAAAAGTAGTCTTAAAAATAATTTAGCTTACCGTGGGAGAAAGGATAAATCGAAGCTTTAACACGAGCATTTTAAACAAAGTTAATTGTAGTCAGCCCTACCACGACTGTAGTGTGAATATGAGCTTGAGCATCGGCGAATATTTTTTATTTGCCCAGGTGACGATACGTTACCCGCGTCATTTTATGAGAGAGTCATGCGATGACACGTCCGCAGCCTCGGATTTTTCGCTCGGTTTCAGGCATTCCGCTATACTTTAAATAAACCTGTTTATTTTGGCTTGTTTACCTCGAATTTTGGGCATTTCTGATTTTCAGTTCGTGGTGCTTTTTCGATGCGATTCGATAGTTTTGGAGCACGCGTTTATGTACACGTGTTATACAGTGTCAAATAAGTGCGTAACGAAATGTGTGTCAACTGTGTGTGGTTTGGTGATGGGAGGATTGATGTTGCACCTGTGAAAATGAGGATTAAGGTTAGGTTTTATCACCGAACTAATATTTTGTAAGTTTATTTTTCGTGACCCTCCTTTTTAAAAAATACATCTCGACGTAAGAAATAAACGGCTATCATTTTTGATAGTCACCGGATTGGCAATAATGAGAGTGCAAGGTAATTTAATTGAAAAACGTTTTCTAAAACTTAAAACTGTATCGGCTAGTTTAGTCATAAAAAGAGCTCTTACCGTTTACATTCTCTCTTTTTATTGATATTAAATCCAATTCTGGAGTTATCGCACAGTGCCTGTCATTGCTCGTCTAATCAGGCATTCGCGCTAATGGATTCACAAATAAGATGCTTAAAATTGCATCAAGTCACTCAGTTTTCGTTGTTCTATCGAGGGAATGGCCTGAAAAAAGAAAGCAAAGATTGTCTGTCAAACTTTTTTTCGGCAACTAACGGACTTTCTCAGGGTACAGGCCTGCATGCTTAGGATAGAACGCCATATGTATTGCTACTTAGTTCTTTAATTTAAGATTCATACATAGAGGAAAAAAAGGAGGTGTTTGCATCTTGAGTATCGTTCACCCTGTGACATAGGTCGGCACAACCTGGCCAGCGCAATCCGGAATTCAAAGTATGGAAAACGGACCATAACGTCCGATTTTTTTGCTTAAATCAACGCATGATATAATTTCAAGCACTTTTAGTGTATTTTCCGAAGGAAAAATATTTACAGAATAAGTTTTTTTCCATAAATTACACTATTTCCAAGAAAATCGACGATAAAAGTCGCCCGCACCGACCTACGTCATCAAAAAATTCCAAGATGCCCGAAATGCAAACACCTCCTTTTCTTTCTCTACGAGATTCATACGGCCCATTTTTGGGACTACATCATACTCAAAAAGTTTTATAAAATCAGATGCGAGTAGAGTCGATGCTTGACCTGGATTTCTAGTTTATCCAGAATCTCCGATACGGCGCTCAGTAGATCGAGTCAATTAAAGAGGTCGGACATGAAATTTTTGACTAAAATCGCAAATTTTTATGTTTATATCGTCTTATTTTAAATGTCAATGGGTGCTTTTAGTAGACAATTTCACGAGGAAACCAACGGAACCACTTTTTGAACCTCCAAGTTCTGTATAAACGGAGTTATACGCGTTTAAAGTCTCCAAATTTTGTCCGACCTCTCCCATGGACTCGATCTACGCTGCCTTGCTAAGGAAAAACGCCGTATGAACCATTAGACGTAGCAAAATTTCGTTTGATAAAACGCGAATTTCCTAGTAAATTAATGGATATTTTCCTCCCAATTTTTCAAATGATTTAGTTCGCAATTTTACCTAAAGTTTCTGAAAATTTAAAGGTAAAACATTCATAACTTTCCTAAAGAATACGCATTTTATCGAGGGAAATTTAGCAACTCTCGAATGTTCATACGCCGTTCTTCCTTAGCACGGCAGCACTGTATGGCGCCGCGAGTGGATTTTCTATAAACCGGGGATTTTCTTGTAAAACTTGGCATTCTCGTTGATGTGCAGTGTACCACATTGCCGCGGTTAAAATCATTCTCCCATGCGAGGCTCGCTCATTACTCATTACCATGTTCTGTCACGAATTTATTTCACTTTTCCCCCTCCGCCTCCTTCTCTCTTTCCTTTCGATGCATCGAGCTTCCTCCTGTTTCCAACGTTTCTCCCACGTATTCCGATTGTGAAAGGGCCCCTATTAAACGCTCATTAGGTGTTATAATTAGCCGGAGGAAAGTAAAAGGGCAAGCTCAAAAAAGCTGTTTCACTTTTTTGTGTCTTGGACTCGCGGTGCTTCCGTAAGCACATCAAAACATGCTCCGTAACGCCCGCTGTCGCATCCGTAAGGCTGTTTTACTATGTTGGACAGTCCCGTTAACGCAGTGCGGCGGTCTTGGATGACAAATCGACGAATTAAACGTAACTTAGCCGAAATGATCAAACGGACCACGTTCAGTAAGAGAAAGAAAATATGGTCCATCGAAAATAAATACTTCTGCGCTGGAAAAAAAACACATTGGATCTAGAGTCCAGACTCTTGAAAACATTGACAAAACATTGACAAGAAAAAATACTCTTGATTCAATCGGATTTTTGCTTGAATCAAAACTAAATCCGCTCATATTAAGAGGCTTGGTTCTTGATTTAAGCAAAAATCCGATCGAATCAAGAGTATTTTTTCTTGTCGATGTTTTTAAGAGTTTGGACTCTAGATCCAATGTGTTTTTTTTTTTTTTTTCCCAGTGTGTGGTTTGGCAACTGATAATCATGAATTGTATTTTTGATGTTTTTCTTTTAGAAAATATCAAACTGTACACTATGTAAAATTTCATGACTTTAGTTTTTCTTTGGAAAACGAGTCAACGTAATTTCTTGAAAACTTCCTTGGTTCTTCTGTTTTAGCAGAATATTCCGTAAAAATTTCAAGCTATCAAATTGACCTCTTTCTTTTCGAAAAAATAAAACAGGATGGACATTAATATAAAACATTTTGATACACCGCGATGAATTAAGTGGTTTCGCACTTAGGCCAGCAAAATATACTATTCGTTTCGAAATCTAAATATTGAATCTTTTTAATCGAATGATCTCTTTAAATTCATTCCGTTGGTGTTTCAGTTGACATTAAGGGACTTACTCACTGCGAAGCTATGATAATTTTTTCAATACCATGTGATCGAGATCAGAGCTCATCATGAAAACTGTTTCAAGTGATTGGAAGGGTAATAATTGATCTCACCGCAACCGATAATCTATCATATTCCTCCTATCGCAATTTTGCTCATCAAAGTCGTCCCAAAAACCCATCATTTATGAGCTCGAATGCCTTAGTTCCCACCCTCCTTGTTTCTTTCGATCGAGCCAATTCAATTAGAGGAGGGAAATGAATATTCGTTCCCGTAAATCCGAGCGTCATGTCAGTGAAGAAGTTGATCAGAAATATAAATGCGTTGACGCACAGTGTATAAAATTTGCTGGAAGGTAACTGGTGACTAAAAATTAGAATGTTGACCGAATCCCTTTCATAGAAAATAAAAGACGGAGACGCGTTTCATTCTTGATAAAGTAGATGTCTAGAACTCAAAGACGGCGTTGCATGGAGATTTGAGAAAATTTTCATCGTCAAGATTTCAGTTTTTCAAACGTCTTAATTACGTTTGAAAAACGTTCCATGTCTGCTGTTTCTCTACGGAAAGAAGCTGCGTAAACATTCTAAGAATGTCTTTCTTCCTTTTTCTCCATACTAAGAAACTATTTTATTTAAGGCTGAAATGAATATTTTTCTGAAAATTGCAGAATCGTCAGACTAAATTGGGAATAAAAGTCTAGCTGCGAAAAAACATTAAACAAAGGAAGTAGGCATATTTTATGGAGCAAATTCGAATTTTATGATTATAAACATCTCAATATTCTTACTGCGGTTTTCTGAGAAACGGGAGCACTAATTTTCATCAGTGGCATGGCGTGCTTTGCGATGTATCGATTGATCTGCCAGTTAAATCCATGGTATAGGATCGATTATCAAGGTGTTCGCAACGGACACCTTGATAATCGATTCTTTACTACAGCTTCAAATGGAGAAATATCGATAATCGATCCTTCACGCCACGCACTGTATTGCATTAGTGTGCGCTTATGATATGTGATTTTCTAATCTACACTGACGCCCCAAGCAGAGGATTTTTAAGCCACTATTCAAAGTTTATGTTTTTCCTTTCAGTAGCATTAATGGTTTTAAAGAGAGAGCAAACTCTTATTTAAAAATAATAATTTCATGATAAGTTCTCAAACCTATAGGATTAACCAATGACTGCAAGCCGCAAGAAAAAATACGCATGTGTGAAACAAAGTTTTGTTCGAGAGTTTACGCGACTCTCTTGCGAAGAACAGAGCAGCATTACAACGGCAATGCTACGCGACGGCATTGAGTGACTGAGTCTGTGAGATCGCCGTGAAATACGAGGGTATGCATCCCGCACGGCAGTAAAGAGGATTGGAAAGACCGCCAGGCGCCACTAGGAGATTTAAGCACCAGCGATGAATGCTCTTGTAGCTGAGCGGCTGACTAATGGTTTTATTTGTAGTTTCATCGTGACTCACCCATAATTATACAAGTGCTGACCTGTACACTGTACAGTGAGGTGGAACGAAACTCCGCCAACATATTGTATCGATTCGTCCTCTGCAATTTTTTTAAAAACAGATTAAAGGGTTTTAAATTTTTCTTCATAATACGTTTTTCGTTATCGAAGGGCTTGTAGAAAAAAACCAACGATACATACAGTAGTTGTAACTTATTTTGGCGCCATCTAAGGGGAATGGTTAGCTTGCCCAATTCCCGCGCAAGTTAACCTAAAATATTGTTGGGTTTACCAGTAATGCGGTCAATTCAACCGTAATAATTGGTTAATCCAGTTTAGGTTTTTTCCCCGGATCATTTTTTAAAAATCATTAATATTAGGGGGTTATGCCTCATCTGACTGCTCCGAGGTCCACCCCGCAGCCCTTTGCGCCTCAAGCGTTCTCTTACGATGTTCATAGAATAAAATAGTGTACTTCGTTCATAAATTATCTAATTTACTTTATGGTTTTCGTTTTTAAATCCGGGTCGTTAATCTGCTGCAGAAAATTATCTTACTGACTGAGTAGCGGCATAGGGCATGATAGCT